CTACACATCTATCACATCCTCCCACCCAGGCCTTGCCTTCGTGGTGCTGTCAGATGATGGGAGCAGAGCAGTGCTGGCAGATGGGGCAGGCACCGTTCTCAGCTCTGCCAAGCACAGGTTGCACAGCCACCTGGGCACGGCGTCCCGTTGTCGCCAGTAGCTTCCAAGCTCCATCCGCTCACAAGCGAAGCAGCTACGGAAGGGGCATTAAAATACACCACTCTCGTCTTCGAAACCTCAAAAACGAAAGAGAAACGCCCACCACAGCAAGCCCCCAAAGAACCAGCGGGACGGCGAATGACCCAGCGGCACCTGGGCGAGACAAAAGCCGGGGAGAGCCTCCCAGCCTCCCCAGGAGGATGAGGAGAGGGAAGGAAGCGTTTCGCGGTGCCTAAAGCGAAGCCCACACCCGCGCTGCGCCACGGACCCGCATCGGAGCTGGGCGTCGCTCCCGGAAGAAGCGGAGGCCCAACCTGCGACACCCGACCTCCGCCTTCCCCTCCTCCCTCGGGCGGCCGGGCGGCACCGCGGGGCTCGCAGCCGGAGGGCCCGCCGCTTCCTGCCGAGCGAGGCCAGGCCGGCCCCCGCCCGCGGCGCCGGGAGCGGAGCGCAGGGCAGACGGAGCCGAGCCGGGCGAACCGCCCCATCCCCACACGCAGCTCGGCCCCGCTCTGCGCCAACAGCCCCGGCCCAGCGGCGGTGAGGCCCCGCACTCACGCAGCGCAGCCCCAAGGAGCGCTGCTCGCACACGGCCGGCTCCGGGCCCGGCTCGCCTACCCGTCCGCCCTCCCCTCCGCGCTGCGGACGCGCGGCTCCCAGCCTCCCGCCCCGCTCCGGCGCTGCCGCTCACCTCAGAGTCTCCGCCGGGCGTTGGCGGCTCGCTGCGGGGTCTCCTCCGCTTCAGGCGCAGGGGCACGCTGCCGGTGACGTCACCACGCAGAGCTGGGCGGGGCGTGGTGTTGGTGACGTCATCACGTAGGAACGTGAGGGCGTGGCTTGGAGCCGCGCTTCCAGCTCGCCCGGTTTGGGGGCGGTGGGGCTGTTTGGAAAAGGGCGCTTTCATCGCTCAGCGCTACCGGTGCGCAACCTCGTCCTCAGTGCCGTGTCCACGCATCCCTTAAGTACCCCCAGGGCTGGGGACTCCCTGAGCAGCTTGACTGATACCACTAAACGAGCCAATGCAAAGAAAAATACACCGGGTCTGATGTTAAACATACTTAACAATACTGGCTTTCACAAAACTAGGTAATGTAAGCAAATCATCCTTCATCTACTCGAGAAGCCTGGTGTATCATTATCTAAGCCAGTGTGTGGGCCCTTTGCAGTGTAACACTGTGAAACTGGAAACTGGATACAAACAAGAGGAGGGCAATGTGCGGTCATGGAGAGGAAGACTGCTTACTTCATCTGAGAGGGTCCTGAGACTCCCACACCAAGCCACTGAGCATGTGCAAGGAGGTGGGACCCTACGTTATACTGTACCATAGAACGCCTGGGTTGAAAAGGACCACAGTGCTCATCTGGTTCCAACCCCCTGCTACATGCAGGGTCACCAACCTCCACATTTAATGCTAAACCAGGCTGCCCAGGGCCCCATCCAGCCTGGCCTTGAACACCTCCAGGGATGGACAGGGATCCACAGCCTCTCTGGGCAGCTGTTCCAGCACCTCACCACTCTCACAGTAAAGAACTTCCCCCTGACATCCAACCTAAATCTTCCCTCCCTCAACTTAAATCCATTTCCCCTTGTTCTGCAGTTATTTACCCATTCAAAGAGTTGATTCCCCTCCTGTTTGTAGGCTCCCTTGAGATACTGAATGTTACTGACTATTGCTGAGCAGGAAACCTTTTGCATATGTAACGCAGGTAACGTATTTAAGCTGAAGGTCTTTTGTTCAAGATATGTGTGGTTAGGGTGAAGATATCCACTCAGGGAGCATCGGGACACTCAGACATAGCTCTCACACAGTGTTTGAGTAGCAGGAGCCAAAAAGCAGCCTCCTGGCTGAAAGAGAAAACTCATTTAAATCAATTGAATTCTTAAGATCCAGGAAGACCTGCTGGGCTTGTTGTGCAGCTCAGGAAGGCAAAGTGCTAGCAGCAGTAAGCCTGCAGTGCTGCCCTGCAATGAGCAGCTGAAAACCATCTGATGAGGCTGAAAACCCCTCTGCCCCTCCTCTGATTTTGCTCAGCCCTGGTTCTGTGCCCTCAAAATGCAAAAATTCAAAAGTGCTCTAATGACTTGGTACATCGGGGAGATGCTTCCTGCACTCTCAGTCCCATCAAGTCATTATTAAACTCATCTCTTGGGATCAAAAGAAGACAAGGCTCACGTCAGCAAGCATCAGCTCCGGGGAGCAGGTATCAGCCAAAGATGAGCAAAGCCACTCTGCCAAGCATTGTTGGCATCAGAAGCACATCTCCCACAGAGACTGTCCACCTCTGGGGCTTTTGGAATGAGCCATTGGCTGCACATCCACTGCTGCCCCGAGCGCTCATTGAAGAGCAATGGGAGAGAAATCTTTAGAAATACCATGACTGGGTGCACACCTACCCACAGCCACTGCCTCCAGAGCCAGCAAGCTGCACTGTGCCACCTCTGCTGAGTGCAGCAGCATTGTTTCAAAAGGAGGAAGGGCTGTTTGCAAAGCTCTGCTCTTTGTTGCAACCAGGTTTACCTAGAAAACACCTAAATGCAACACTTCCCATGTCACTGAGTCCACTCTCAGCTTGCACATGGATTAGCTCTGCAAAGTCCGTGACCTGAGATGGAAAAGCATTAAATTAAACTTGGATGCAGATAAATGTGACTGTGAATGGAAACAAGGGTCTCAAAGGAGGACCCTGATTTTTAACCTTTTGTACAGCAGATGAAACAGCCCCTGGTTTCCTTCCCTCCCTGTGAATGCACCTGGCATACCTTCAGAAACAGCAGTGGCTGGAAAGGCAGCCAGGGCTCTTTTTCAAAGCCCCATTGTTCCTTGCTATGATTTAAGCAGAAGTACAACATGAAAAGTTTCCCCAGACTTGCAGAATCACACACCTTCAATGGTGTTTTCTGCAGTGAGTCACAAACAGCTGCTGCCTCATTCAGTTCTCACCCAGAAGTTTGTTCACCTGAGACAGGCACATGCATTCACCCAAATGAAAGGCGTGAGAAGCGTGTAGGAGCAAGCAGAGGCCACCTCTCACCCATGGACAGCCCAGACCTCTCTCTAGTGTTGCATGTCACTGACTCCTCCCAGCTGCAGTTTGGTGCTTTGTTCCTGATTAAATTCCCACCCTATTGATCCAAAAATGCATTAAGGAAAGGGCTCGGGACAGGCTGAGCCAAGCAGAGGCACTCACAAGCCCAGAGGCACTCAGGGAACCCTCCACAAGCTCTACTACTAGTGGTTTTACCAGCACTGTCCCCTCTGTTCTCTTGCAACAAACACATTACAGAGAGGTAATGTTGCAGCAGAATTGCATCCTCAGCTGCAAGTGCTGCAGGAGGTTGCAGTTCAGCACCTTTCACCTTTCTGTCACCAGCTCCATCCCTATTTGACACAGGATGGGCTGCTCAGCTCTGCAGTGGTACCTTGCCCTATCTCCCTGCCTGCAGCACAGAGAGCACAAGGCAATGCTGGATATGCTGCACTTGCTGCAAGCCTTTTGCTTGTTGGAGATACAGAAAGAACAGGCAGGACTCTGCAAGATGGGCAGTGCACGGGTAGGATGGAGAAGTAGGCAAACCTCCAAAGAGCAAGGTGGCAAGAGAGGCTAGAAGAGGCATTTATGTTCACTTAACAGGATCCCTCTACCCAGCAGAAACATGCTGGCACAGAGCACCAGCCCTCTGTGACACACAGCTGTCATTCAAGCAGCAAGTGCTGGCACCCAAAGGAACTGCAGCGGAGCAGCAGAGCTACAGGGCACAGAGGGTCAGCAGGCTTTGCTGGAGAAGTGAAATCCTGTCAAAGTCCAACATAAGAAATCACAAACTGCAAAGGACAAAGGTAGCAGACATCACCAAGTCCCCTTGTGCATGTACATCAGCTTACAATTCTTAATGATGGGAAACAGATAAAACTGGGGCAGGAATACCTTCTCCCCAGAGGAGCACAAATCACAGGCGAAAGTCTCTGATGTTGCTGTAATTAGCACTACGGCAAAGACCATGCAGTAATTAACTTTCTCCCTTCCAAGTTAAGATTTAATCACATGCAGTAAAATAAGACCTGGGGTGGTAAAACATGCAGAGGAAAAAAAAAAAGAGACACCCTATCAAATTAGGCACTTGTGACTTGATAAGGAATTAATTATACCCTGGTCTGATAATAACAACACATTGCTTTTAATTTGCCCAGTGCTCTAAGTGAGGGAGGGTGAGCTGGGAAAAGCTTCTTCCAAAATCCTACGCTGACTCTGAGAAGATTTCTGCCAGCCACAGAGAAGCACAGCAGGATGGGGCTGGGCTGATGGCAGCACTGCAACGAGAGAAGCCTGGTGCAGTGATGAGCTGAGGGTGACCTGGGAGAAGCCAGAGCTGCAGCATCCCCATCTTTGGGTCTCAAGCCAAGCACCAAAACCTCCTCTGCTGCAGGGCAAGGGCCAGGAGGAGCCCTACTTGGTCTGAAATGAACAAATCCCCACTAGAAAGGGAACAAGGAACAACAGACCTCATTGCATGCGACCTCGACCACTCTTCCCATGCCACAGGGCTTCCTAAATGTGTGTGTTGTAATAAGGGCCAAAATCCAGACCTGAAATCACTACCTACCACACACAGTCTCAGTGAGGTATGCCACAGCCAGATGGGTAGGACATATTTTATAACGCAATCAATCTGCCCCAAGCATATTTGCTTTTTGCCCCAAGTCCTTTTGAAATTACTCCATCTGATATCATCTGCCTCTTGTTAAAGCTTGGCATAAGTCAAAGAAATAAGTTACTTGATTACTAGAAAATCCAGTAAGACTGAATTCAGAATTAGTCTTACTAAAGCAAAGAGCAAGTACTGGCAGCATCAGCATTTTCATTTCTTGGTCTCTTTCCTTGCCCTGCCTTTGGCAACGCTCAGGCACTGCCTGTCCTCAGGCATCAGCTCTGTTCAGAGGTCCTGTACAGCCAACACACTTCGCATCATTTGGTGAGGCCCTGGAAGTTGGGCTCTGTGCAGGGGGGGAGCGCTGCCTGCCGGCTCAGCAGTTTGTCCAAGATGTTTATTTCAGCATCTCGTTGCTCAATGTCCTCGAAAGGCGTCCAGGACATGTCGTGCTGCAGCTTATAGGCACCGAGAAACTCATGGGGGCTGGTCCCCCACTCCTGGAAGAGAAAGGACAGATATACACTGCTACTGGGTATCCCTTGGTGCCACACTGTGCTGACAGTCGCAGCCTCTCTGCCCAGGCTGGCTTGCCCCACCACCTTCCAGGCACTCCCAGCTACACAGAAGTCCCACTTTCTAACCTAAATATAAGAGTAACTACCCTGAGTCTAAGACCAATCAAGGCACAGTACAGTGCTGCTGACACAGGGAAGTCTGGGGACACAGTATCACCTTGCAGAGCTCCTCCACCTTGCTCATTGCTGTTTTCTCTGTAGTCTTCACCCTGTGCATTAGAAAATGGGTTGCCTGCAAGGAAGACACCTCCAACACTAACTCAAGAGGAGAGTCATCCCCACTTCCCATAGAAACAAAACACCAAGCTGCAAACCATCTCAACCCCTGGGCTAAAGCACCTGAGAAAATTGCTGCCAACAACTACAGCAGACAGGGAAGGCCCAGGGCATGTCTGCATTTCTCTGCTTTCATAAAAAGAACGGCGGAGACTGAACTGAGGTCGTCTACCTGTCAAAGACACTGCTCACCTTAGACCAGCAGATAACTCATATCAAGAAACCCAACCGAGCACAGGTCTGTGAATGGCTCCATCAAACCAGTGCTTTTGTCAGAGTTCCAGAAGTGCCCAAATACCAGAAATTGTCTCTTCCCCTCCCTGCTTCCTCAGAGGCTGCCGCCACACACCTTAGGAGACAGGATGGAGAAGTACTTTTGGCCACTCTCCCTCCTATACAAGTAGTAAATGTTTCCTGGCTTCTTCACTAAGTTGCAGGCCACGTGGTGCAGATCAGCATCCCTGTTAGCATCTTCCAAGACCTGAAAACAAATTTAAAATTTCCACACTTGAAATATAACTGATTACTTTCTTCTTACACACACACTTCTGCATCTCAGCCAGAGCCCACAAGGCTCTGCCTTCCCAGCACAGCTCTTGCTTCATCCCATCGCTTGCCCCAGGAAATAGATGCTTTCCAAAGAGGCATTTATTTTCTTCAAGTTTCCTCTGCCGAGCGGCACTCTGGGACTCCTGCAACCCTCCACAGATGTGCAGATACCTCCAAACAGCAGCAAACTCTTCACAACCCCAGGTTCGCCTCTGCCCCTGCCCCCACCATTGGCTGGAGTCTTTCCTTGCCTCCACGCACAGTCAGACCCTGGGGACTTCCCTGCTGAAGTAACCTGGGGAAGGCACAGCAAGCACAGGGGAACTCAGCTCCCCAGCTGCAGCTCTTAACAACCACATGACATAATTGCCTTGATGACAGTGGGCCAGCTGCAGTGACCAGCAGGTCCCTTCTCACTCCATAACTTGTTTTTGGTTCTATGAGCACACCTGTAGGGCTGAAGACAAAATGCAAGAGAACAGCTGAGCACTGCTGGGTTGACAGCCAGGATCAACTGCTCTGGTAACTGAGCTGGGACAAACTCAAAAGCTGAGACACATCCAAACCTCAGAGCAAAGCTCATCTTCTCCCAAGGGCTTGGATTCACCTCAGAGCAACCATCCAGAGCCACACTGTCACCCTGCTGCTCCAGCTCCTCCTGGAAGCACACCCTACAGTGACAGGAGTTTTCTGTCACTGTCATAACTGACATCCCAGCTGCCATGGGCTGACCACCAGCTCTCACCCCTCCTTTGAAAGGACTCGGCACACCTGACAAAAGCCCCCCTGATATGCAGAATGAGGCAAAGCCCCCAAAATATCCCTCATGCCCCCAGTTGATACCAGACAGTGAACTCTGGCTGTCATCCCCCCGAATCTTCTCCACTTGGTTTCAGGCAATGACCAGCCTGCAGCTTCTCCCAAATACCCAGCAGCTAAGTAAAAGCAAATCTTTATCCTTGTTTCCTTCCTGCCACTGGATGCATCCTCACCTTCCGAGCCTGCTCCTGCAAGCACCGGATCTGCTCAGCAATGACAGACAGCTTGTTGCAGGCGTTGGCTCGAACATACTCATCTGCCTGCAAGAGACAGAGGGGTTGATGAGGACGAAGGCAGCCAGGGTCCTATGGACATTTCCACACTGAGGAAGCAATGGCTGCAGCCTTGCATTAACGGAGCTCTAACACGAGCTGCACAGGCAGCTCTGAGCCCCCCGGCAATCCATAGCTGGTGGGGGGACACCACAGCATCCCCAGACAGCTGGGTACACAGATGCAGACAAGGGGGAGGCACAGTGGGCAGGAGATGGGCAGCAAGACAGAGGTGAACCAAAAGAAGTGGGATGCACCAAGAGAAGGCAGAAGGATCTATGGGGAGGTGTTTGGAGGGGCTAGAGAAGGTCAGGAAGACAACCTGGGAGGCACTGGGATGGGAAGGAAAGAACTGAGGGGAAGAGCAGAACATACAAGGATGCACTGGGGAGAACAGCAGGAAATACTGAAACCCAACAGAGCATCCACAAGGTTCCTTCCACCCTGAACCATTCCTACCAAGGTGGTAGGCAGCAGCACACAGCAGGGGCAATGGGGCATACAAGGATGCAGGATACACTGGGAGGTACTGGGATGGGCAGGGAGACACTAAGGGGGACAGCGAGGCATAAAAGGGTGCACTGGGGGGAGCAGCAGAAAAGACTTGGGGCACTGAAGCCATGGTGGGAACCACTGGAGAAGAGCACACAGCGCTGGGAGGCACTGGAGCACCTGGGGCGGCAGGGCAGGAGGACAGGGCAGAGTTTGGAAATGGATGATGTGCAAGGTTCCTCCAACCCGAGCCTTTCTGTGCTCCTATAACGGCGAGAGGCACCGGCACGGAGCGAGGACAACACGGCGGTGCTGACTCGGGGCGCTGCCGGGAACCAGCAGGACACCGGGTGCCCGTACGGCCTCAGCCCCTGCCCAGCCGCTTCCCCGGGGGACCGTGCCCGGCCCTCACCTGCTGCACCTGCCGGGCCAGCGCCACCAAGTCCCCCGGGTCCCCGACGCGGGCGGCCCGCCCGGCGCTGCCTTCCACCAAGGCCAAAGCCAGGCCCACACCGCCACCACCTCCATCCTCCCCTCCTACGGCCGCCATAGCCCGCTTCGCCCCGCCCCTTCCGCTCGAGGAGAAACTTCCGGTGTAGGCGTGGTCACTCAGCAGGGGGCGTGGCCAAAAGTCTTGCTGGCGTGCGGTGTGGGCGTGGTCGTGAGCAGCGGGCGTGGCCGGGGGGGGGCGTGGTCTGGCGCGGAGCCGGGCGGCCGCAGGCTCTGCCATGGCGCTGCTGCTGCCGCTGCTGCCGCTGCTGATCTGGGCGGCGGAACCGCCGGCACCGCTGGGACCGCCGGAGCACTCCGATCCCCCGCTGCCGGCCGAGCCCCCGGACGCGCTCTTCGCTGCCGGAGCCGAAGCGTACGCGCGGGGGGACTGGCCCGCCGTGGTGCTGCAGATGGAGCGGGCGCTGCGGGCCCGCGCCGCTATCCGCGCTCGGTGGGTTCGGTGTCGCCTGCGCTGCGCCAATGCCACCGTGGCGGTACCGACGAACGGACTCGAGCCGGCTCTCCGCGATCTGCTGTTCTTCCGGGGGCTGCTGCGGCGCGCAGCCTGCCTCCGGGGCTGCGGGCCCACCCAGCCCTCCCGGTACCGCCTGGGCGAGGAGCTGGAGAGAGAGTTCCGCAAGCGGAGCCCCTACAACTACCTCCAGGTCGCCTACTTCAAGGTACGGCCCCGAAGGAGATGAGATCCGGGAGGGAGGGGGGGATATCGGGGAGCGGCGTCCGAGAGGGGTCCGGAGGTGCGATTCAACCGCAGCGGAACCCGCAAGCGGAGGGGCGGGCGGGAAGGAGGCGGGCGGCGTGGATGGGAGTGATGTTGGGGGACGGGGAGGCGTCCCGGGCCCTCCTCCCATCCCTCCACTGCTCCCCCCGCAGTGCCACGTCGGGGCCTGGCTGGGGCCTGCCGCATCCGAGGCGTGGGGGGGGGGGGGGGGGGGGGGGCCCCCCCCCCCCCCGGGGGGGGGGGGGGGGGGGGGGCCGAGCAAACCGTCCACATCCCCACACGTGCTCAGTACCGGGACCCCCATACACGGTACTGGGCCCCCACCCGGTATGGGGGCTGGGAGGCAACGTGCATGTTCAGGATGACCCCAGTCCTCTGTGTCTTAGCTCCAAAAGTTGGGGTCCCTCACCACCCCTCTGCCCTCCCGCAGATCAATAAGGTGGCGAAGGCCGTGGCTGCAGCCCACACCTTCTTCGTGGCCAACCCCGAGCACGTGGAGATGAAGCAGAACCTGGAGTACTACCAGATGATGGCAGGCGTCAGGGAGTCCGACTTCGCTGACCTGGAGGCCAGGCCCCACATGGTGGGTGCCCCATCCTCGTGTTGGGTTTTACCCCAAAATTGCATTTTCTTAGCTGGGAATGTGGCAGCGCTCCTAAAATACCTGCCCAGGGCTCTGTGTGGGGAGGGGGAGATGGGCTGTGGGCTTAGCAAGCACACAGCACTGCTGTGTGTCCATGTGGTGAGAGGTGTCCCTGGGACCAGTGCTCTGAGCACATGTGGTGCCCCAGCCCTGCAGACACCCAAGGTCAGGGCACGGAGCTCTGAGCGCTGATGGAGCTGTGGGAGCAGCAGGGTTGGACCTGATGGCTTTAAGCATCCCTCCCAGTACCACCTGTTTTATGATTGTATGAATGGGCGCTGGGCAGCTTTGTGCTCACAGCTCTGCCTGGCTTCCTGCAGACAGAGTTCCGCCTGGGTGTCCGGTTTTACAGCGAGGAGCAGCCGGCTGCTGCTGTCCTGCACCTGGAGAAGGCACTGGAGGAATACTTTGTGGCTGACACAGAGTGCCGTGCTCTCTGTGAGGGGCCCTATGACTATGAAGGCTACAACTACCTGGAGTATAACGCAGACCTGTTCCAGGCCATGACAGGTGAGAGCGCCTGTGCAAAACCCTCTGTGAGGGGTTGGGACCAAAATGCCCTATGGGTGTGCACACCTCTCATCCAGGCCCTGGCAGTGCTGCCTGGAGGTGTCCAAGGCTACAGGGACCCTGAGCAGCCTGAGCTGCTGCAGGGCATCCATCCCATGGCTGGGGGTTTTGATCTGCGTGATCATTAAAGTCCCCTCCAACTCAAGCCATTCTGTGGTCCCCATAGATTTCACTAGGAGGAATGCTGCCCAGGACCCCCTCCCCATTTCCAGAGGGATGTGGAGAACGGGTCACCTGGGCACGGGGCTGGGAGGCTGAGACTGACAGGAGGAACACTTCCTTTATGGGATGTCACACCAGTCATACGGCGGTGGGGGGCCATCCTTGGGGGTCTCCAGTGCTGCAAGCTGGAGCGGGGACCCTATGATGTCTCATCCACCAACCAGCTCTTCGATGACCCCAAGCAGTGATATGGGATTTTTTCTCCACCAGATCACTACATGCAGGTGCTGAGCTGCAAGCAGGGCTGTGTCACAGAGCTCGCCTCGCAGCCTGGCCGGGAGAAGCCCCTGGAGGATTTCCTGCCCTCGCATTTCAACTACTTGCAGTTTGCCTACTACAACAGTAAGCAGCTCGTTGCCCCATCCTGCAATGGCCAGGACTCCTGGCACTGCTCACATCAACACTGACATCGTGCTGTGGGCATAAAGGCTCATGGACAGCAGTGTGCCTTAGGAGAGCTGTGTCTTGCTGCCCTCTGTTACAGTGAGCCTCCCTGCTGCTCAAATGCCAAATTCCTGTGCAGCTTCACTACAGCCTAGAGAGGCATTTTTTTTTCCTGCCAGCTTTCTGCCTCACATCCAAACAAAAGAGGCACTCTGGCCATCCAGGAGAGTTTGTTATAACCCAGGCAAATGGATATTGTCTTTTTTTTGTTCTCCTTATTAGAAAAAAATTGAACTATTTCTTTGCAAATTTCCCCAGAAGGATTAAAAAACAAACAAACAGCCAAGGCTGAACTCCAGGAAGACTGAAAGGATGTAATACTGTAGATGAAAGTAGGTCAGCATGCTTAAGTGGCTGAAAATTGCAGGTTAGCATGGAAATGGGTGTTACTGTCTGGAAATGGGCTTTAAGATACATTTTCCAAGCATGAAAACTCCTCAGCCAGGGGCACTGATTGCTGCTGAGGTGAGAGAGCACCTCACACTGTTACTTTCCCTTTGTGGCAGCAGTTGACTTTGCTTCAGAGTATCTGCCCCTGCTTAGGGCGAGATCCTTCGCAGATTTCAGCTTTCTCTGTTGTTTCTCTGTATCCCCATTTACTCTGTTCCCTATCAAATTCTCATCATCCTCCCCAGCCTCTGCTCCAGCAGTGGATTGTGCCTGTGCCAGAGCTGGGCACCAGCAAGGCAGGGAGAAGACATGCTGTAATGGTTCTGTTTCTCTTTCCAGGTGGGAATTATGAAAAAGCAATTGAATGCACCAAAACATACTTGCTCTTCTTCCCAAACGATGAGGTGATGAACCAGAATTTGGCCTATTACACTGCTGTCCTGGGAGAAGACCTGGCCAGGCCCATTGAGCCCCGAAAGGTGGGTGACCACAGGGACAAGCCAGCATAGGATGGATTCTGTCCTTTCAGAGCTCCAAGCCCTGGCAGAGGTTTTGTGGGCTGATCTGGGTTGGGTTGCAATGGGGACAGCAGGTAGGAGGGCTGCCCTGACCCACCCCTCTGCCCCTGGCCCAGGAGATCCAGGCATACCGCCAGCGGAGCCTCATGGAGAAGGAGCTGCTCTTCTTCAGCTACGACGTCTTTGGGATCCCATTTGTGGACCCGGTGAGTGGCACTGCAGCAAGGCTGATGGCAGCTGGAGGGACGTGTCTGCAGGGAAGGGGGATGTGGTGTCAGAGGCAGGTCCTCATCCAGCTACTGATGCTGTCCCTGTGGCTGTAGGACACGTGGACGCCTGAAGAGGTGATACCAAAGAGGCTGCGAGAGAAACAAAAGTGAGTGTTTGGCCAATTGCCACTGGGGGGGGGGGGGGGCAACCAATGGGGGCACCTCTCTGCCTTCCTTGGGCTCAAGGCAGCAATTGCAGAGGGAATTACCTGATGCTGGGGCTGGGAGAGGCTGCTGGAGGGCAGAGCTTGGTCCTTGGTCACCCCAAGCAGTTTGGGGTAGGGCGTGAGTGCTGCACTGAGATGACACCTTCACACCTCGGGCTTTGTCAGCAGCCCTTAGACACAACTTGTCCTGTCCTTGCCTTGGCATGCCTTCTTCCCGACTTGGGGACAGTGGGGCAGTGGAGCTGATGGCCACTGTGTGCCCAGGGTGGAGCGGGAGACAGCAGCACGCATCTCCGAGGAGATCGGCAACCTGATGAAGGAGATCGAGACGCTGGTGGAGGAGAAAGCAAAGGAGTCTGCAGAAATGAGCAAGTTCATCCGAGAAGGTGCGGGCAGCTCCGGGTCCTGGTGCCAGCCCAAAGTCCCTCAGCACCGCCCCAGTTCCATCCGTACTCCCTCCTGATCCCACCTGTGCTGCAGGCGGCCCCTTGGTGTACGAGGGAGCCAGCGTCACCATGAACTCCAAAAGCCTGAATGGGTCTCAGCGCGTTGTGGTGGATGGAGTCCTGTCAGCTGAGGAGTGCCGGGAGCTGCAGAGACTCACCAACGTGAGCGCGGGGATGCGGGGATGCCGAGGGGTCGCATCCTGTGCCTCAGAAATCAGGTGGGATAACGTTGGCTGGGCTTTGCAGGCAGCTGCCTCGGCAGGGGATGGCTATCGTGGGAAGACATCGCCTCACACCCCCAGTGAGACCTTCTATGGTGTCACCGTCCTGAAGGCCCTCAAGGTTAGCGTGGCTGCGGGCGCCTGGGGCTGCTGCCCCGCTGCAGCTGAGCCCACGTTGCTGTCTGTCCCCCACAGCTGGGCCAGGAGGGCAAGGTCCCCCTGCAGAGCGCCCACCTCTACTACAACGTGACGGAGAAGGTGCGGCACATGATGGAGTCCTACTTCCGCCTGGAGGTCCCGCTCCATTTCTCCTACTCACACCTGGTGTGCCGCACAGCCATCGATGGTGAGCACGGCCCCGAAGGGCTGCTCTGCAGGGGGATGCAAAGCGCCTTCACCCTCTGCCCAGGACCCTTTCTGAGAAGGAAT